ACAGAGTTTGAGTCTTATGGATATTAATGCCTAGCTTAACAGAGTGCTCCAACAAGGATCTTTAATAGTTACCAGGCTAGAAGAAGTTCTGTCCTTCCAAATTCTAAAATGACAGGACGCATACCTCAAACCTCTTGCTGGTATGCCGCTCTTAAAGCCACAGGAACCTTCTTTGAATCTGGTTATTTCACTTCTACTTAAGGGGGGGGGGAATTGCATGAGAAGTCCTGTAAGTATTATTAGGGTCAGCCTAGTGGGTTACTATTTACAGAAGGTCAGGGACGGGTGGGTGGCTCCCTGTTTTCTGGGCAGCACCAGAAAAGGCAGACAGAAAAACCAATATTGCCATCTCTAGCCTGGGGACAGATGACACACTATTCCCCGGTATGGCACATACCTCCTCCCCTGTCCCAACTCTCCTAGCCTGCCCTGACTATGGCCGTCTCTCTCCCAGCATGGCTCTCCTACTGTCCAAGTGTGTGAGGCCAGTGAGAATGAATAGTGCCTGTGTTCCTTGTCTGTGAAAGAGGCTTGTTTATCCAGAGTTCCCCCACCACCACCAGCTCCCGCCTTCGTCTTGCTCAGTGGTGATTTCATTCATTCATTCAAAAAGACCCAGGCAGGCTTAGAGCCCACAGGAACCAACCCCCCCCCCCCCACACCCACCCAAGGAAATGAGGAGCTCCGAGGTTTCAAAGCAGGGGCATTATCCCCAGCGAGGCTCAAAGAGTGTGGAGAGCAAGCAGCCGCAGCCCAGCCTCTGGAACTGTTAGGGACTGAGGGGTTGCCATGGCAGATTGGAAGCTGTTGTCCCATTAGACTAGGAGCCTGTCTGAAGGGGAGGGGAGGCATGAATAGCAGACTCTTCAGAGCCAGATACCAGGAAAAGCTCCTAGTGTATATTGATGGTGCCCACAAGGGAGGTCTCGTCCTTAACCCCAGGCAGCCAGCTAGCAGTCCCCTCATGCTGTGTCTCTGCTGCAGGCCTAGATGTTCCAATTATCCCCACAGTAACCTCTCTGTGGGAATAAGGGATCCTTGCAGCCGGGAGACTGGCCAGAGGCACCAAGGGGGCACTGTGCCCATTCCAGAGGCAGGCCCAAAGATCTCTAATGAATAGGATTGCGGGAGGTCGTATTGCCATTGCCTAGCAGGGGTAAGCCCTTACGGACAGCCTGCCAGCCCAGGGTAAAACTCAAGACACTCTCTGTTTCATTCAAACAAGGAAACTTGCTACCCTGTGGGCGGCACCTAATTTTCTCGGGGGTGCCTCCGTGTTTCTTTTTAGAAGAACTCCTGTATTTGTGACAGCTGCATGACAGTCAGAAATTCAGCAGTGCTCATGAAAACAAAATCAGGGACTGGATGGGCCTTTCGCGTGATCCAACATTTCTTATGTTCTTATGCATTAACCCTCAGCCATGAACAGACCCAGCACTAAGAGGAAGGTTGCCTTTGCTCCCTGGTTTTGTTTTCATGAGCACTGCAGATGTTCTGCCTTAGCCCTTTCGGTTGTGTCAGCAGAAAGAAGGAATGCCTTGTTGCAGACACTAAGCAAACACTCTTAAACAACAGATATCCTGATGCGAAAGGAGTAAACTCAATGAGGATAACATTGCCAATACCATTAGTCACCATTTTCTAGACAGGAATTAATTTTGGCACAGTTAATGTTGCCATATTGCCTAAAAACACAGAGACGGTCCAGCCAATAATGGCACTGGGGCAAATGAGGCTGCCAGCGGTTGCTATTTATTGCCTTGGGGCTAACCTGGGAATTCTGTCTTGACTCCAGACATTGAAAAAAGGGTCAGACAGGAAGGCTCTTTATGGCTCCGTCTTTTGCTGCCTTTACTATTGGAGTCAATATAAATTAGTGATGCTAACTCATCATTTTGGATAGTCAGAAATACTTTGCACAGCCTGCAAATTATGGTACCCAGATTTCTGAGACTTTGGCCAAACTAAATGAAGGGATGTGACATCTATAAGTAGAGCTCCCACATTTCTTAAAAGTATGTATTTACTGTACTTACAGTATGCCTTTCTTGAGAAAGGCTGGGGGGGGGGTTTTGATTCAGATCAGATATGTGGTGCATGGAGGCAGAGGTTTTAATTCTCTTCTCTACAAACTAAGCTATTTGCACCTTGGAAAAATCCCAGAAGTATCTGTGATTTAGAAATAGCATTTCTCAGACCCAGGGGGAGGTACAGGTTTAAGCTCTACTCCTCCAGCACCATGGTTCCAGTCTAGTGGGAGGGACAACTGTTATTAGCTTTTAAAAGAATGTGGACAATCTGATTACAGATGTCCCTGTGTCTTATTTACCTGCACATCAGTAAACACACTCTTAATTTGGAGGGAAAGAGAGAATGGCATTTTCCCCAAATCACTTTTCCTGAAAATGGGCTAAAGAGAAGCTTGAAAACTTCCGTTATCAATTTCTCGAGATAGACCCAATTGACCCAACCCCCCCCCCCAAAAAAAAACACCCTTGCAATGTATTCTGCCTCTTACTACTTGGGTCTGGTTAACTGAGCAAGAACTGGTTTTGCCGCAAAGCGCTTACAGGGGATCTGTAAAACAGATTTGCTGTTCAACAGCAAATGCTACATTGACACTGATGTTCAGTCTTGCTGATTTCAGTAGAATGTACTTTCATGGACGTGTGCTTAGGAATGCAGCTTTAGTAACTGTAATTGCCTTTTTGCATTTAGAATACAAATAAGGAACTAGAGCTGGGATTTAATTTACAAAACAGCCTACATAACTGCAATAGAGAAAGGAGTTAGATCACTGTAGCCAACTACAATCCTCAGCTGTTTTGCAAAAGTTCACCCCTGGTATCCAGCCAGTCACTGTACACAGCATTTAATGTATCATCTCTGGAGAAATAGAGGCTTATTGCCTTTCCTGAAAATAAAACAGAACTCTCACTTTTTCTCTCACTCTGGAACTTATGTGGCCCAAATACCAAAGCATGTAAGTTACTGCTTTTCAAATTACATTTATCCTAACAGCATCCACCAAGAACACCATTTTAGTTTTCATTATCAGAAGCAAAAAAAATTTTAAGAGTGACTTTTGTAGTTACTTTTTAAAATAATTCATAACTCCTGAGGAATTATTGCATATGGCGTACACTTGGGCAGGGGCTACCCTCTGCCTTCCACAAGTGGTGTCCTGGATATTCATTCAGTTTTTACAGCGAAAGTGTATACTGGCAACCCAGTCCTTAAAACCTTGCATTGAAACAATCCATGGACTTCGTGAGATACCCCTTAGAGAACCACAGCCTGAATATCTCCCGCAGCCGCCTTAACAATCACCCATTATTGTTTTGTCATTGTGACTGGATGATCTTTTGCTCACTCTGTCAACATGCGCTCTTCCAAGTTTAGCAAACTCCTGACGGCTTGCTCTTGTTGGTGGCCATTATCTCTATATCTTGATTTCATGCCTTGTTCTTCTCTACCTAACTATTTTGTGCTTTGCTTGTTCCAAGTTTGTGGGATTGAGCGATGGAAACTTCTGGCTATAAGATCTTGGCAAGGTCCCAGACCACATTTCTTGGACAGCCCCTTTGTAAAGATGTTTATCTCAGACTAAACCTTGGCTCACAGTCTAGTGTTTGGCCTGCCCTTGCCTTTACCCTTACCACTAGGACTCTGTCATAGGACTGAAATGTGACAAAGCCTCATTCACCTCAACATCCATTTGAAAAATCTGTGGAAGTTATGCAATATCTTTGTTAGAATCTCTTATTTGGGGCAGCAAATGAGGTTGGAAGAAAATCTGCTATACAGACTTCTAAGACCAGAGACAAGTAGCATCAGTAGTGTTAAGCACAACAATACAGGATTTATACCAACCATAAAGCAGCATAAGCTAAATTTTAAGGCATGCTATGACCTTAATCCACTGTGATTGCTTGTCAGTGTTTGAGGAAGCGACTGTACTTTTCCAAGAGTTAGGTTAGCAAAATATATTTTCCCCAGCTGCTGCCAAGGAGCAATTGCACCCCTAAGTGTCTACAGCTTCAGTCCCTAAGTCACTCATTTCTTGCAGGCTCCACTCAACCATCCAGTGCAACATATGCTTCTACAAACCTTCATGACTGGGCTCCCTCCCTCCTGTGCTGAAAGCGCTGCACTGGTTGCCAATAGCGTACCGGATTCGCTTCAAAGTGCTGGTTCTTACCTATAAAGCCCTATATGGTCTGGGTCCAGCCTACCTGAGGGACCGCCTTTCCCCGTATGTTCCCCCAAGAGCACTACGGTCTGGGGCCCAAAATCTTCTAACTATACCGGGCCCCAAGGATGCTAAGTTGGCCGTCACGAGGGCTAGGGCTTTCTCGGTAGCGGCCCCTACCTGGTGGAATGAGCTCCCAGAGGAGATCCGGGCCCTGCGGGACCTGGTGCAGTTCCGCAGGGCCTGTAAGACGGAGCTCTTCCACCAGGCTTTTGATTAGGGGCCGCTGCCGTCCCCCCCCCCGCTATATTACCATCAATGTGGGGGGGTTGAGGGCCCTAGGAGGGGAGGAAGAACATCTGTTCAATACCTACTATGCAATGCCTACCGGGGGATGTTTGGTTTTCGTGGTCTTGTCCTCTCTGATATTCTGAAATGGATGCTGTGAAGTTGAGCACCTTATTGTTTGCTTGGGTTTTAAACTGTATATTGTGTTTTGTACTAAAGTATTTGATGTTTTTATGAGCAAGTTTTATGCTATGTAAGCCGCCCTGAGCCCTACGGGGGAGGGCGGGGTATAAATTTAACAAATAAATAAATAAATAAATAAATACACTCTTGGCTTTGGATTTCTGTCTTGGAGTGACGGAGCCAAAGTCACTGCAGAGCAAACGACTGCACCATCGGACACAAACAAAAGGGGAGGGTCAGCCTAATCACTGTAAAACCTTATTGTTTTGATCAGTTAGTGTGCTCACCATCATTACTTCCACCTTAATTAGCACAGCCTTATCAGGCTAGTACTTACCCATCCACATCCTGGTAGTTCACATTCAGCCTCTTTGTTGATCCCAAGAGTTCTAAAGAAAAGGGGGAGAGAGAATTGGGTCAGTTCAGGATCTTCTTGGCAGATGGTGGAATCTACATGATGCATGCAGAGCCTTTACAGATCGTATGGTTCAACAATGGCTGCAACCAGAATTGAATCTGCAACTCTCTCTTCCCTGAAGACTCTGAAGAGAAGCATTTTGAGTACAAACTGTGGGCGATTCCATGCTAGATTGCCGTCTCGGCAACAATGTGAATGACATCAGAAAGGCCACACATTAGAAGGGGTCAGGAGACAAGGTCCCCTTGGCACAGTGTCTCGTCTCTGATAGTAGTTTGGAACAAACATATTAAAGGTTGATTTCAAGAAACAGGAATGTGATGGAATGGTTTCCATCATGCAGGCTTGATTTGCCATTGGCTATTAAGAAAGGCTAAATAAGGAGGCAAAATCAATGCACACATTCATGCTTTTCACTTTTGTTTACATTTATAAGTCTTCTAGGGACAAGTCCTTGATCATCCTGCAAAATGAGTGTTTCCTAGGAGTTCTAACGGATTCTGGCAGGTGCAGCAACTCTGGACTTTCCTGCCCAGCTTGCTTCTATGCACAGGAGCCTGAGTCTCCCTCTCCATCCCCGATCCATCTGCTTGCAGAACAGAGAGTGATGGTTTATCTCCCCAAACCTCGAGACTAACCTTGCTGTGCACAGGCCAGTGCCTGACCCATCCCTTCAGCTTCTTCCTCTCTCCAGCTCCTTCTGCATTGCCTTCTATTGCACTCTTCTTCATGGGCACCGGCCAGGTACTTGTTTCTCTTTCTTCATTTCCCCCTTTCCCCAGTAAATATGCTGCTCAATCGCTTCCATCTTCGGAATCCTTTCAATGGCTCATCACATCACTCCCATGTAACAAGCAGGAGAAAACCTGGTCCCCACTGCTGATGGCGACTGGGTCAGTGCCTTTGGTCGATTCCTTTTCAGGAATGCTCCCATTTATAGAGTCAGAAAAGTGTAGAGCTGGGACATTTTGCTTACGCCTCTCAGCAACTTACCCGCTGCCGGGGAAGAACCCACGGACTAAATGGTTGGCATTTTTGCTTCACAGGCAGGGGGTGGCAGGAGCCCAGAGGTTATGAATATACCAATTGTATTTGTCTGACATTTCCTTCACCTTGTCCACCTTCTCCGAACTCTCAATTCTCTTAATAGCATGCAGTGTGTCTCTTAAGGAAGAGAAGCCCTTCTGTATTTCAAACCATATATGCAAGCTTTACTTAGCCTGTTAAGATCCCAACTCCTTCATGATGAAACCAGTGCAATTATTTTTTCCAGATAATAATGGAGTGTTTCATTTGAGAATTCAGTGGAAAAATGATAGGGCATCAACATAAGAACTCAACATTTATAAGAAGGAAGCACAAGTTTTGCTAGTTTTATCTACGGTTGAGACAAATCGATCCTTTTTTATTTTTATACCGAAAGCCCGTTCAAAGGGATACAGTATATAGAGTATCATCAACAACATTTATAGCCCATATTTCTGTTTAGAAAAACATTTTAAATTACTTTTCAGAAAAGGCTAGTACACCTTGTGGCACATAGAAAACAAAACAAAAAAGGCCTAGGTGTGCAGCCAGGAGGGAAGGTACAAACTGGCAATGCTTCCCCTGTTGGTTCAGCAGCCTCTGGACTCTCCATAGATAGCAGTGATTTCCATGTTGCATCATGTTATATCATTTGATACTAGGCAGCCAACAAACTGCAATGCTAGAGAAAATGACCTGCCATTAGACATCCAGGTCAAGAAAAAGCAGGTCATGGAACATGCTGGTGCTGCATTATGATACAATTACCCACTGATGTCAAAACAGGTCAGTGCCATGCCACAACAGTGAACTGTAAATAAACCTGAACAAACATCATGCAAAAAAGCCAAAAATAGGCCTCCACTTTCACTTTAAGTGAGAGTGAATTTGTAAATAGCTTGGCCCTAATTTTAAGAAGTCCCCCTTAACTGAGGTATCTATTGAAATCTGACTGGAGGATCTACTCTGCAATGCCATATGAGACACAATAGCAAACCATGTCTTCTTCACAGGACCTGCACTTCAGAATACCAAAACAAGCAAAGGGTAAACAAAAGCACCAGAGCAAGCAAGACAAGGGACGGACTGCAAATACGATGTTCATTCATCCGTCCTGACTACACTATTGGATTTCCAGTGTTAAATTCAGCTTGGCTTGTATGATTCTTCCTCTTATTTATCACATTTCATCCCCTCCTTCTTGGAAAGAGTTCAGGTGGGTGACGTACATGCTGCTCCCCTCCTCCATTTTATCCTCTCAACAACCCTGTGAGACAGATTATACCCACTACACCACCCTTGAGTCTATTCCACAATCCATTATGCTCTCTGCTAAGAGTGAAAGATAGTAACTTGTTGAAGCGGCAACCCTAAACACAATTGATAAAGAATAAGTCTTGGTGCATCACAATATCCTTTGAAGTACTTCCCCCCCCACTAGTATCACAAAAGAATGAAGCACTAGTTCAACCAATGAGAATGGATAGATGGGACTGAAAGAACAAGAGATGGTAGAAATTGAGCAAATGAGGGTATCAAGTAGGAGAGACCAAGGAAGGAGCTGAAAATTCAGGTGGTAACAAAACGACTGCAGGAAACTGAAGATGGCTAATTAGACATGCATGTGTAAAGTGCCATCAAGTTGCAGCTGACTTACGGCAACCCCGTTTTCAAAGTTTTCAAGCAGAAGATGCTCAGACCTGCTTAACTTCCTAGATCTGATGAGTTCAGGCTAGCCTGGGTCATCCAGGTGAGGGCTTGAATTAGACACGGCGGCAGAAAACATTAAACAGAGAGACGGAGCATACTGAAATCTAAAAGCGAACCCTGCACATACTTCTGCACAGTCTACTTCTGATCTCTAGCCGCAAAGGGAAAGTAGTCATTGCCATCACACACTGTTTAGAAAGTTCTCAGCTGGAGTAGATCAACCTTTGGTCTGATCCACTCAGCAAGGCATCTTCAGAACCACAGCCAGTGAAGTAGGCAAGGCAGACGAAGACTTATTTGGGGAGTCGGAACTCATTCAGTACCTCCAATCCCTGCAGGCCATCTGCATCATGGGTTTTTCAATTCATGCTAGTCTACTCCTAATTCATACAACAGATGGGTTGACTGTGGGACCAGTGAGTTGTGCATCATGCACAGTCAGCTTTACAATAATAGAGGTGGGATGTTCCAGGAGAAAGGGTACGTCCCTTTTTCAGGGACCTTTCTTGCACACCTGGCTTAGCATTAAAGTATCAGATTGAGAGCACAGGTGGCAGCCGGGCAGTCATGCCCCAAATCCTAGCAACAGATACTGAGTTGAGGTGAAGAGCATCATGGATTGCTAAAGGAAGGCTGGAGGCCTCTGCAGATTATATCTACAACAGATGCCTGACATCCCTCCTCCTCATTGGCTGTTGTAAAGTTTCAGCAAGATTTTCCCAGGCTCACTATTGTAAATTCAGTGTGATCTGCATTCAAATTTCTTCCACTTCTTGGGTGTTCAGCTCCTGTTGCCTGGAAGATGCCAGCAGAAATAAAGGAGGTATTGCAGAGAGGTAGGGTTACCAGACATGTCTTTTGAGAGGACACGTCCTCTTTTTTTGGTGTCTGTCCTCTTTTGGGCTCTTTTTTTTTAAAAAAAGGATGAAAATGTCCCCTTTTTAGGTTGGAAGGTTAGGAATATTCCTAGTTAGTAGCAATTAACACAGTTTAGATAGTAGGGGCATTTAAAACGAGATTTGTCATAGTGATCATTGTTTGAAGTGGTCAGTCGGGAAATATGTCCTCTTTTTTTGCTTTTCAAAATATGGTAACTATAACAGAGGGGAAGCTGCACAACCCCCGTTGGAGAAACAAGGAGGAATGAATCAGAGGTGGGCTCATTGACAAATGAAAATATGAGTTGAAAAGAAAATCCCCACCATTGCGGTTTTCCTGAGGGCGAATCAAAATGTTTAGTCAATAGGTATATCAATGCAAAGCCATTTTCAAGAAACTGATTGCATCATGTGCGTGACAAACTTAGCTGACACTGTCCGCCAGGCGGATCAGAAACCAGGGAGGTCTAAATGGAATCAGAATAATTAGGTCTCTTAAGGACTTTTTCATATTCAAAGTGCTCTGCAGTCATTCATGCACCAGGGACTCAACTGGGTAAAACTGGCATGTCCTTTCACATTGGTTCTGCTCCTCAAGCAGCAAAGCAGACACCCCCCCCCCCTGCTACTCATGCAGACAGACACAGCCAAGGCTGCTAAGAGAGAGAAGGCTCATTACTTGCAGTGGAACCCTATACTAAAAGCTAAGTATGTTTTATTTTGGGAACCAATGATCTTGCACACACAAAAAAGCTTGATCCTTATAGTCACTTTGTCAGCAAATAAATGCACAGAATGGTCCGGAAAGGATAATGTGAAGGTGGTGGGGGGGAGTTTTGTCCGATGAATTTCTGGAACTGCACAGCAATCAAAGGCAAAAGAAGCCCTGCCAAAGAAAAGGGAGGCTTCCAGGAGATGAGACTTATGCTTGAGATCTGTTTTTTAATGCCAGGGGTGCATCTGCCACAGCCCCCCGCATTAAGCTTGGGAGAAGGGAAGAGAGGGCTTAGAGACCATAAGCTACCTAGTGGGCAGTCAGGAAAGAGCGTGGGGCTAGGGATGCAGTGGGTACTATTTCAGCTATTGCATTCAGCAAGGGAGGCTGCAAATAGGGTTGCCAAGTCTGGGTTGGAAAATACCTGGAGACTTTGGGGGTGGAGCCAGGAGAGGGTGGGGTTTGGGGAAGGGAGGGGGCTCAGCATAGTACAATGCCATAGAGTCCACCCTTCAAAGCAGCCATTTTCTCCAGGGCAGCTGATCTCTGTCAGCTGCGGATCAGTGGTAAAAGCGGGAGATCCCCAGGCCCCACCTGGAGGCTGGCAACCCTAGCTGCAAAGCACACAACAGGACTTGTCAC